AGCCTAATGGCGTGCAATGCGTTACGTCACGTGTCTCTGGTAGCCTAATGGCGTGCAATGCGTTATGTCACGTGTCTCTGGTAGCCTAATGGTGTGCAATGCATTACGTCACGTGTCTCTGGTAGCCTAATGGTGTGCAATGCGTTACGTCACGTGTCTCTGGTAGCCTAATTGTGTGCAATGAGTTACGTCACGTGTCTCTGGTAGCCTAATGGTGTGCAATGCGTTACGTCACGTGTCTCTGGTAGCCTAATGGTGTACAATGCGTTACGTCGCGTGTCTCTGGTAGCCTAATTGTGTGCATGCGTTACGTCACGTGTCTCTGGTAGCCTAATGGTGTGCAATGCGTTACGTCACGTGTCTCTGGTAGCCTAATGGAGTGCAATGCGTTACAGCAGCTCATGGAAAAGAAAGGGCTGCCGATGCGCTAAAACTCCCCATAAATCAACGCAGCTGTGGTGCACTGAATCGCATGGGCACTGACTAAGAGCAGGGAATCCTCAGAGTCTTATATCAGTGTCCCCATCAGAGTCCCCCCTTATATCAGAGTCCTCTCCTACATCCTCATTAGAGTCCCCATTAGATTACCCCCGAGATCAGTGTCCCCATCAAAGTCCCCCTTACATCAGAGTCCCCCCTTACAGCAGGGCTCCCATCAGATTTTCCCTTACATCAAGGTCCCCCCGTACATTAGGGCCCCCATTAGAATCTCCCCTTACATCACGGTCCCCATCAGAGTCTCCCCTTATATCAATGTCCCTATCAGAATCTCCCTTACATCAGAGTCCCCATTAGTGACCCCACCCTCACATCAGAGTCCCCATCAATTTCCCCATTACATCAGGGTCCCCATTAGAGTCCCCATTTACCTTAGGATCCCCATCAGAGTCGCCCTATACACCAGGGTCCTCATCAGAGTGCTCCCTAGATTAAAGTCCCCAACAGAATCTCTTCTTACATCAGGGTCCCCATCAGAGTCCACCTTGCTTCAAAGTCCCCATTAGAATTCCCCTTACATCAGAGGCCCGTCTTACATCAGGGTCCCCATTAAAGTCCCCCCCACACTCATACCAGAGTCCTCCTTACATCAGAGTATGCCCTTACATCAGGGTCTCCATTAGAGTACACCCTGGCATCAGTGTCCCCTCTTACATCAGGGTCCCCATCTAAGTCCCCATTAACTTACCCCCCTGACATCAGTGTCCCCATCAGAGTCCCCCTTACATCAGAGTCCCCCCTTACAGCTTACAGCAGGGCCCCCGTCAAAATTTCCCTACATCAGGGTCCCCTCCCTTACACCAGAGTATGCCCTTACATCAAGGTCCCCATTAGATTAACCCCCTGACATCAGAGTCCCCATCTAAGTCCCCATTAGATTACCCCCCTGACATCAGTGTCCCCATCAAAGTCCCCCTTACATCAGAGTTCCCCCTTACAGCAGGGCCCCCATCAAAATTTCCCTACATCAGGGTCCCCTCCCTTACACCCAGGTCCCCATTAGAGCCATCTCTTACATCAGTGTTCTCATCAGGGACCCCCATTACATTAGGACCCCATTAGAGTCTCCCCTTATATCAGTGTCCCCATCAGAATCTCCCTTACATCAGGGTCCCCATTAGCAACCCCCCCGCATCAGAGTCCCCATCAGAGTCTCCCCTTACATCAGGGTGCCCATTAGAAACCCCACCCTCACATCAGAGTCCCCATCAGAGTCTCCCCTTACATCAGGGTCCCCATTAGAGTCCCCAGTTACCTCAGGATCCCCATAAGTTGCATTACACCGGGGTCCCCATCAGAGTTCTTCCTAGATCAAAGTCCCCATCAGAGTTTCTCCTTACATCAGGGTCCCCATCTGAGTCCACCTTGCTTCAAGGACCCTATCTGAATTCCTCTTACATCAGAGGCAACCCTTACATCAGGGTCCCCATTAAAGCCCCCCTCACATTAGAGTCCCCCCTTACATCAGGGTCCCCATCAAAGTCCCCCCCCCACATTTGAGTCCCCCTTACATCAGGGTCCCCATCAGAGTCCCCCTTACATCAGAGGATCCCCTTACATCACGGTTTCCATTAGAGCCCCCCCGCATCGGGGTCCCATCAGAGACCCCCTTACACCAGGGTCCCCATGAGAGTTCCCCCTAACTTTATTGTCCAGAATCAGAGTCCCCTTACATCAGAGTCCCCGTCAGATTTTTCCCTTGGATCAGAAGCGAGTACCATAGGCAATCAGTGCACACTGAGGATATGCCACTGACCTTAGCTGGGGACCGAATGGAATCTTGTAGGGGGCCGGATGTGGCCCGTGGGCCATAGATTGAAGATCCCCGCCTTTGGGGTGCCGTCCCCAATGAATGAATGCGGATGTGATGTGCTGAACGGCATGCTGTCTTAGAACATTCGGGTCAAAAAAAGGCTTTGCAATGCAGCAATCCATCCAACCCACACCATCCCTCACTGCTGGACTTTGCAGCAATGCAGTATTTTGGAACAGTCCTTACTGTTCCCGGGAGCTGACAGTCAGGTTGCAGGTGAAGTGACCCGAAAATGTGTGATCAGAAAATGAATAAGATCGATGATCACTATTTGGGATCTTCAGCCCAGACTCACCCTGCACTCTGCTACATTGTTCCAGGTATCTCTGAGGGCTACAGAACACCGCCCTCTATGTTATAGGGAAGGGGGAGGGTTCTGCAGTTCTGATTGTTTTTGTTGTCTTTGCACAGTTTGGGAAGTGAGTGTTGTCACCCTAGGACAGGAAGTCCTTCATTCACAACACATTGGATATTAGCGCCTTTACTAAACATCTGCTGTGTCTTCACATTGCAGTGCTGGCAGGCTGCCAATATTCCGCTGCAATACAAAGTAATAGGAAACAAACAGATTTTAGAGCCAGCGTTGTTTGAAAATGAATATCTCCACAATGGCTATAGCTACAGAGGTGAGTGATGACTTGAGTTAAAGTTCTTTACCATATTGGGCTGCAATAGAAAGTAAAAGAAAACAAACAGATTTTAGTACCAACATTGTTTGAAAATGAATATCTCCACAATGGCTATATCTACAGAGGTGAGGGATGAATTGCGTTAAAGTTCTTTACCGTTTGCTGCCAATATTCTGCTGGAATAGAAAGTAATAGGAAACAAACTGAGATGTTAGTGCCAGCGTATTTGAAAATGAATATCTCCACAATGGCTATAGCTACAGAGGTGTATGATGGCTTGCATTAAAGTTTTTTACCGTTTGCTGCCAATATTCTGCTGGAATAGAAAGTATTAGGAAACAAATTGAGATGTTAGTGCTAGCGTTGTTTGAAAATGAATATCTACACAATGGCTATAGCTACAGAGGTGAGTGATGACTTGTGTTAAAGTTCTTTAGCGTTCGCTGCCAATATTCCACTGCAACAGAAAGTAATAGGAAACAATCTGATTTTCGTGCCAGGGTTGTTTGAAAATGAATATCTCCACAATATAGCTACAGAGGTGAGTGATGGCTTGTGTTAAAGTTCTTTACCGTTTGCTGCCAATATTCCACTGCAACAGAAAGTAATAGGAAACAAACTGAGATGTTAGTGCCAGTGTTATTTGAAAATGAATATCTCCACAATGGCTATAGCTACAGAGGTGTATGATGGCTTGCATTAAAGTTCTTTACCGTTTCCTTCCAATTTTCCACTGCAATAGAAAGTAATAGGAAACAAACTGAGATGTTAGTGCCAGCATTGTTTAAAAATGAATATCTCCACAATGGCTATAGCTACAGAGGTGTATGATTGCTTGCATTAAAGCTCTTTACAGTTTGCTGCCAATATTCCACTGCAACAGAAAGTAATAGGAAACAATCTGATTTTCGTGCCAGGGTTGTTTGAAAATGAATATCTCCACAATATCTCCACAATATAGCTACAGAGGTGAGTGATGGCTTGCGTTAAAGTTCTTTACCGTTTGCTGTCAATATTCCACTGCAATAGAAAGTAATAGGAAACAAACTGAGATGTTAGTGCCAGCATTGTTTGAAAATGAATATCTCCACAATATAGCTACAGAGGTGAGTGATGACTTGTGTTAAAGTTCTTTACCATTTCCTGCCAATATTCCACTGCAGCAGAAAGTAATAGGAAACAAAGTGAGATGTTAGTGCCAGCGTTGTTGAAAATGAATATCTCCGCAATGGCTATAGCTACAGAGCTGAATGATGGCTTGCGTTAAAGTTCTTTACCGTTTGCTGCCAATATTCCACTGCAACAGAAAGTAATAGGAAACAATCTGATTTTAGTGCCAGGGTTGTTTAAAAATGAATATCTCCACAATATCTCCACAATATAGCTACAGAGGTGAGTGATTGCTTGCATTAAAGTTCTTTACCATTTGCTGACAATATTCTGCTGGAATAGAAAGTATTAGGAAACAAATTGAGATTTTAGTGCCAACATTGTTTGAACATGAATATCTCCACAATGGCTATAGCTACAGAGGTGAGTGATGGCTTGTGTTAAAGTTCTTTACCGTTTGCTGTCAATATTCCACTGCAATAGAAAGTAATAGGAGACAAACTGAGATGTTAGTGCCAGCATTGTTTGAAAATTAATTTCTCCGCTATGGCTATAGCTACAGAAGTGAATGATGGCTTGTGTTAAATTTCTTTACCATTTGTTTAGAATATCTAAATACTTTAGTATGCATATTCTGAGCACAAGGACACTTCAACCCTTTCATAAGCACGCCATATTTCAGCGGCAGCAGGTGGTTTCCGGAAAACGCTTTCCCCAGAGTGTCGGTTTCTAAAGAGACTTTATGACGGCAGCGTTCAATGATACTGGCACTGGGTAAGTATTAACTGTCTTCTTTTTGGGCATTTTTAGTAACAGAGTATCTTTAAAAAATGTGTGGAATGATTTTTAGTATGCAAATAAACAGAGTTGTAGTCCAGTTCTCCAACGCATGCTAAATGAGGCAGGCTCTGGTTATGAAGAGCTTAAATCTGACCTCTGGCCTTCCCTTCAGTCTTGCACAGTTGTACCGGCTCCTCCCCTTCAGTCTTGCACAGGTGTACCGGCTCCTCCCCTTTAGTCTTGCACAGGTGTACCGGCTCCTCCCCTTCAGTCTTGCACAGGTGTACTATCTCCTCTCCTTTAGTCTTGCACAGGTGTACCGGCTCCTCCCCTTCAGTCTTGCACAGGTGTACTGGCTTCTCCCCCTCAGTCTTGCACAGGTGTACCGGCTCCTCCCCTTCTCTCTTGCACAGGTGTACCGGCTCCTCCTTCAGTCTTCAGTCTTGCACAGGTGTACCAGCTCCTTGCCTTCAGTCTTGCACAGTTGGACTGGCTCCTCCCTTCAGTCTTGCACAGTATACCGGCTCCTCCCCTTCAGTCTTGCACAGGTGTACTGGCTCCTCCCCTTCTGTCTTGCACAGGTGTACCGGCTCCTCCCCTTCTGTCTTGCACAGGTGTACCGACTCCTCCCTTTCAGTCTTGCACAGGTTACCAGCTCCTCCCCTTCAGTCTTGCACAGGTGTCCTGGCTCCTCCCTCCCCTTCAGTCTTGCACAGGTGTACGGGCTCCTCTCCTGGACTGAAACAGCTTACTCTGATTTCACTGCACACTGTGAGCATCTCACCATGTGCATTAGAAGCTGCAGTAGGTCATATAGAGCTCCACCGCCTTTCCTGCCTGGAGGACATATAGCATCATCTAGCCACAGGTGTCAATCTGGCGGCCCTCCAGCTGTTGCCAAACTACAAGTCCCATGAGGCATTGCAAGACTGACAGTTACAAGCATGACTCCCAAAGATAGAGGCATGATGGGACTTGTAGTTTCTCAACAGCTGGAGGGCCGCTAGTTTGACACCTTATTCTAGCCTTTCCCCTCCCCCTCATCTGACCTGATCTTTAATTTATCACATGTGGGCATTACCTAGGACAGTCTGCATGCAAATGACTTCTGCTTAGGAACGCCCACTTCTCCAAACTGTCATCAAGACATTTTGATGTTTGCATAACTCCTCCCAAGAACCAGCCCACTGCTTCTGTCCTGTTTCACATGACTGTCATATGCCTTTAAGTGTTCTCTATATTTTGTCTCTGCACCTCCCTTTCCTCTGGTTTAGTTCATGCTGTATAGCTAGCTCCACCCTTTTTTCCAGTAATTCATTTCAGCTTCTAGCCTCTTGTCATGAAGCAGGACACATTACGATCTTTTGACCTATCCGATGTTCATTGTTGTAAGATTCTCACAGTTTATGGAATAAACTTCACAAGATCTACAAGGTGTCGTCTGATCGAGTCACTGCCTGTGTTATTCAACTAAGATTGGAGTTATCGCTATCTCATCACAGCTGTAAGTTACAGAGATCACACTTTCAATGCTTAGATTGGAGAGACAGAACACTGATGCTATTGATCTCCCATTATTGTTGGGATGCCTCTAGACTCGCACGGGTGTCAAACTGGCAAATAGACTGTGCACTTTGCAAGTGCAGTTGCTCCAGAGCTTAGTGAATGCGCTGAAGCTTCACTTTGTGTCATGTTTCACATGACTGTCATATGCCTTTAAGTATTCTCTATATTGTGTCTCTGCTCCTCCCTTTCCTCTGGTTTAGTTCATGCTGTATAGATAGCCCCACCCTTTTTCCCAGTAATGCATTTCAGCTTCAAGCCTCATGTCATGAAGCAGATCACATTATGATCTTTTGACCTATCCGATGTTCATTGTTGTAAGATTCTCTCATTTTATGGAATAAACTTCACAAGATCTACTAGGTGTCATCTGGATTGAGTCACTGCCTGTGTTATTCAACTAAGATTGGAGTTATCGCTATCTCATCACCAGGGGCAGACTGACAACTCAAGGGGCCCCCGGGCAATAGGGGATCATGGGGCCCCTGTGTTCTTGCCAAAACTCAATTGTCTCCCTTTATATTGTAAAGCGCTGAGCCAGGGGCGGACTGACCATTCGAGCACTCGGGCACTGCCCGAGGGCCCGGGGTCAGTAGGGGGCCCCATGAGATGCCCCTGGTACCTTTCATTGGCTTTTTCATAGGCTTTTTTTGGTGTGGGCGAGGACACAGGGGCCCCATGATCTCCTATTGTCTGGGGGCACCATGAGTTGTCAGTCCGCCCCTGCGCTGAGCAAACTGTTGGCGCCATATAAATCCTGTATAATAATAATAATATTCCGTGCTGCAGGGAAGCAGTGGTCTCTCTACAGAGGTCAGACACGCCTCCTGCTGATTCACAGCCAGGGGCAGACTGACAACTCATGGGGCCCCTGGGCAATAGGGGATCATGGGACCCCTGTGTCCTTGCCCAAATTCAAAAAAGCCTATGAATAAGGTACCAGGGGCATCTCATGGGGCCCCCTACTAACCCCCGGCCTTCTGGCAGTGCCCGAGTTTCCAAATGGTCAGTCCACCCCTGCTCCATGACAACAAGATGTTCATTGTTGTAAGATTCTCTCAGTTTATGGAATAAACTTCACAAGATCTACAAGGTGTCGTCTGATCGAGTCACTGCCTGTGTTATTCAACTAAGATTGGAGTTATCGCTATCTCATCACAACTGTAAGTTACAGAGATCACACTTTCAATGCTTAGATTGGAGAGACAGAACACTGATACTATTGATCTCCCATTATTGTTGGGATGCCTCTAGACTCGCATGGGTGTCAAACTGGCGGCCCTCCAGTTGTTGCCAAACTACAAGTCCCATGAGGCATTGCAAGATGTCCATTGTTGTAAGATTCTCTCAGTTTATAGAATAAACTTCACAAGATCTGCAAGGTGTCATCTGATCGAGTCACTGCCTGTGTTATTCAACTAAGATTGGAGTTATCGCTATCTCATCACAACTGTAAGTTACAGAGATCACACTTTCAATGCTTAGATTGGAGAGACAGAACAGCTTCCATCAGGGCTGAGGGTTCTTGAGAGGAGTACTGAGGTAGGGCACTGTAATGTTTTCAGGACTGTACAGCACCCTGTTGGCCCCTCCCACCAGCTATGATCTGCATGCATTGTATAGAGAAGCACAGAGATACAGGGATGATGCCCTGTATGTAATCAAAACTGAAAGGTTTAAATGAAAAATATCGCTAGCATGCTATGCTAATGGGGGGGAGGGGGGCTGAGAAGCCAAATATATTCAGAATAAATTTCAACTTGCAACATTTGTAACGATTGTATTGCTCGTGGAAGGAATGAACACAAATGATAACATAGCTGGAACATGAATGTACTTAAACATATTTCATTTTGTTCATCGCTTTACTAAGACGAACATTCCGTAGCGCCGTCCGTCCGCATCCACATTGCGCCTGTTTTATAAGGTCATGGCGGAAGCCTATAATTCCCGATGACAGTCTCGGTTATTAGAGGTAAATCATGATTGAAGAGCGCGTGGCAACATCTTATTAGAAGCAGCATTGGTCAGTTTTACGGCGGCTCATCGGGGAGGCGTTTGGCTTTTGTTTGCCATTAATTATAGTGACTCACATGTTTCGAGCCCCGGAGCAGCTCTGTGCATTAATCATGATTAATTAGGGTCTTTAAATACCTGCGGATTCTATACAGGTCATTACGTTACCAAGCTGAGGCTGATGGCGGATGCTGGGCCTGGTGGGTGAGCCATGCCAGCCATGAAATTACCAGCATCACACCTCGGATTTATGGCGATTAATGTGACTGGCAATAGCTGGAACGGCGAGGCGTGGAGACAATGCGTCCTCGCCGGGCGCTGATATCAACACATTCCTCATTGTTTACTTGCAGAAATGTTTTTTATTTTCAGTTAAGTGCCGCATGTTGAGTAATGTGCCAGTATAACACTTCCAGATATTTATCGCCTACCAATGAGATCCCAGTACTCCCCCCAACAATGTCTTCATCAGCGTTTCTCTCCAGAAGGAAGGGCGATCTTTGTTGAGGCATCATACAGGGGCCCCCATCTACTGTACTTCCCAGATTGAGATGCCGATGTAAATCCTGGAAATGCTTCCTCCTCCTACAAAGTTACAATGTACAGTCTGATCACTGAGGGAGCGGAGACTGAGAAAATACTTTATCCTCCTGCTACAAAGTTACAATGTACAGTCTGATCACTGGGGGAGGGGTGACTGAGGAAATGCTTCTTCCTTCCTTCTACAAAGTTACAATGTACAGTCTGATCACTGGGGGAGGGGTGACTGAGGAAATGCTCTTCCTTCCTTCTACAAAGTTACAATGTACAGTCTGATCACTGGGGGAGGGGTGACTGAGGAAATGCTATTTCCTTCTTTCTACAAAGTTACAATGTACAGTCTGATCACTGGGGGGAGGGGAGACTGAGGAAATACTTCATCCTCCTGCTACAAAGTTACAATGTACAGTCTGATCACTGGGGAGGGGAGACTGAGGAAATGCTTCTTCCTCCTTCTACAAAGTTACAATGTACAGTCTGATCTCCGGGGGGAGGGGTGACTGAGGAAATGCTTCATCCTCCTTATACAAAGTTACAATGTACAGTCTGATCACGGGGGGGAGGAGAGACTGAGGAAATGATGATTCCTCCTCCTTGTATAAAGTTACAATGTACAGTCTGATCACTGAGGGAGGGGTGACTGAGGAAATGCTTCTTCCTTCCTTCTACAAAGTTACAATGTACAGTCTGATCACTGGGGGAGGGGAGACTGAGGAAATGCTTCTTCCTCCTTCTACAAAGTTACAATGTACAGTCTGATCTCTGGCGCATGGGAGACTGAGGAAATCCATCCTTCTCCTTCTCCAAAGTTACAATCTATAATCTGATCACTGGGGGAGGGAAGACTGGGGAAATGCTTATTCCTCCTTCTACAAAATTACAATGTACAGTCTGATCACTGGGGGAGGGGAGACTGAGGAAATGCTTCCTCCTCCTTGTACAAAATTACAATGTGCAATCTGATTACTAGGGGAGAGGCGACTGAGGAAATGCCTTCTCCTGCCTGCAGCAGATGGATGACATCATCTCAGCCTAGGCACAGTCGCAGGGCTGCTGCTCAAGAATGGCTTTTTAAAAGGTGCGGCTTTTTAGAAATACAATAGTGATTTTTATTTTTTTTCAATATTTGATTTTTTGTTTTAGTTGAAGGTCTCTAACCGCACCAACTAATTCGGTTGGAAGACTTTTTGATTGCTTTAGTCCCCTCTCTCCATACCTTGTAGGATTATACCATTGTAGTAGCAACTTTGGGAATTCCAGGTAAAACTCCGGACACGAACCTGGGGAAAACAAATCTTTTATTCCCCAGCTGGTTTGATCTAGCAGGACTCATGTCTGCAAAGTGCCTTCAAAAGCCTCTTACATGGTGTATATACCAACAATTACATCACAATGCATATATTTCCTCTTTCACTTTCTGTACATTCAAAAGACTTTCTAAACTGTGCAGTATATGGCCTTGAGTACCAGCTACAGATAAGAATAGCAGCTACAGACTGGAACACATTACTTCACCAGAAATAAGGGAGGGGGGAAGTGAGCTGATGATCTTGCGAACAGAGGCTGATAGAAATGTTAATGTTTAAAGGGGAACTTTGCAATATTTGGGTGCTGCCACACCATCTATCATCACCGTCATTCTATCTCCTAAAATTCTCCAATCAATAAACACAATCAGAACTGCTGATAATAGGTAGCACCTTCCCCCCTGTACAGTACCCATACCCCATCAGTTCAACAGGGGGTCCCAGGCCCTTTCTCTCCCGCCAGCTGTCTTCTATTGCAGGGGAGCCAAAGGGGGATAGGTTTAGCGATTGCCACCCTCCACTGCTCCAATCACCTCCTCTCCTGTCCACAATCCCTCTTTGAACCCCCTGTTTTCCTCTCTGCAGCGCTGCCGACCTCTCCTCCTCTACTTCCCACTGGCTGTCAGCTGCAGTGGGCACACAGGCAGGAGTGTATTTACTGCAAGGCAAACAAGGCGTTTGGGGGGGGCGGTGCAACATCTAGAGGGGCACATAGAGTCATGCGCCCGTTATCCACTGTCACTTCGTTC